GCTCCTGGCCCTGTGCCCAGACGCGGCGGGCCTCCGGCCCCATGTCCCGCCGCCGCTCCCGACGCGCAGCGTGCCGCCGCCGCCGGCTGCGTCCCCGCGCTCCCCGGCGCGCGGTGCCGCGGATGCTGCTGCTGCCGCGTCGGATATCCAGCCTGCTCCTCCACCGACGTCTTCGCCGAGGCCGTCTTCGCCCCTGCTGTGGCCTCCTCGGGAGCTGCCGCCACCGCCGGAAGCTGACGCTCGCGCGGGCCACCGTCGAGATTGCCAGGACGTGCGCAGCGCGCCCGGAGCGCGCTGCCGCCCGGGTTGCTGGAGAGGTGGAGCTTGCTGCTGCTGCCAGCGTGCTTGGAGATCGTGCTTTCCCTCATTCGACGAGCGCGTTCCACTACTCGCAAAGTGGCTACTCGCAAATGTCCTGGATCCGCTGGGGGGGATCTGCGAGAAATGACGTCGAATCAGACATGTGGTTTTCGGGCGCTTGCGAGTAGGCACTTTGCGAGTCGTGGAACGCGCTCGGCGACTCATGCTGGTTTCGCTGCACATCTACGCGCTGGGGCTGCGTCCCTTGCGACGCCCGGGCCGGAGGCGCGCAGTGAGACTGCGGCCGCTCCCTCGACGACGACATCTTCGCCATGTTCGTTCGCATCCTCGAGGCCTGACGCCAGAGCTGGTTGCTGCTGCCTGCCGCTGGCGCCCGGGATCGTGATCTAGCTCACGCCGGATCTGCTGGTGTTGCGGAGGTGCGCAAGCCCCAGCGCCCGCCGTCGCGGCCCAGAGGAGGTGGCGAGGCACCCGACGGGCCTCACGGAGCTCCAATGGGACGCACAGAGACATCTGTACTAGTACTGCCTGTCCTCCTTGGACATTGGAGGCGCGCGTCCGACCCGAACATACAGCACACCCATCTTGTAGTAGATCGTTTCCCGAGCGGTGTGGCCAGAAAGCGCCCGCCACGACGCATGTGCTGCAAGTGCAAGAGTTCTCGGTGCGCGCCTCGCCCCCGGGGCGGGGGGACGCACACACAGTGTTAGCATGCTGGGGCGACGTCGATCCAACGCCAGGCGAGGGAGGCCTGCGACGGCACCGTTGAGGCTGCCGCCGAGGTCTCTGGCCCGGTCGCTGTGGCCGCCGCGCCGCGAGGCGTGTCCCCACTGCGTCGGTGCGGCTCCCCTTGCAGGCCCAGGACCTCTGCTGCGCCCCATGGGGCCGGACGGTACAGGTTGCCGTGCGCGAGAGGTGACGTTCGCCGTGAGCCTGTGGCGCGTCGGCCCTCCAGCCGGCCGCCGTGTCGCAGCTGTGTAGTGGAATTGGGAAGGAGCTTGCAGTGGACATGGGTTCGCGAACAGTGGCCAGCCGAGCGGGCGGAGAAACGTGTCTTGCGCATGTGCGCGGGTGGGTGCGCCCAGGGCCTCCTCTTGCACCTCCTCTTCCACCTCGCCCTCCCCCTATTGGCGAGGAGACCCCGCAACCTGAACGACTTTCAATGCACCGAACTTACAGACGTGCTGGAGCTGTTTTTGTTGCGTGGATTTCTGCCACTGCACAACCCTGAAAAGACGAGTGAAAAAAGAAGTGAATTTCGCGTGGAGTTTTTCAGTCATTCCTGGCCCAAGAATCCGCACGAAATTCACCTCGAAATCCGGAACGAAATTCTCCAGGACACTCCGGAGCCATCTTATCATTGTCCGAACGAAATCCGCTCCGCGATGTTGGCGCCATGAGAGCTGTGGAGTCCCGCCTCGCCCTAAGCTGGTGAGGCGATGTTGGGCCTCCCTTCCGTCCAAACCGGTTAGCAGCTACAGACCCCCACCGTTGGTAGGGCTGCTGGCTTCACCGTTGTTCAGCTTCCTAGCCAGCTCCTCACCTGCCCCCGTGTCGTGCTCACGCCTCTATGTGCACCTGTGCCTTCCTGGCTGACTCCTCGTCCTCCTCCTCCTCCTCCTCCTCCTCCTCCTCCTCCTCCTCCTCCTCCTCCAGGCCGAGTACCTCTTGCGTCCCGGAATATTATGCCTAGCTGCAGCGCCGCCACACATCGACAGGCTATGTGCTTCAACGATCGCGCAGTCGAACAGAATCCTTGCTCCTCCTCACTCTCCGCCTCCTCTCCCTCCCCTCATCCCTCCCTCCTCCGTCCTTCCCTCCCTCACTCCTCCAAAGTTTGTGTTTATGCCCTTTCGTCTTCTTCTTCTTATTATTATTCTTCTTCTTCGATACGTGTCCACCGAAGCTCATCGCCGATCAATCAGCAATGCATCGCTCGTTCCAGGTCGATGCCCCCGCCCCTGAGCCAGCCGTCCCCCCCACCGTTGCCCCCCGACAGAGCGTCCGCCTCGCCAGGCCCAGTCGGGCCCATCAAACTCCTGACTCAAGAGACGATCGGCCTGCTGCAGGCACTGGCCTCTGGAGGCCGCGGTCGGGGCCAGGGACGTCCAAGACGAAGCCAGGACGAGGATAACTTCGGGTGAGGATGCATCGAGAACCGCTGAGATCCAGCGCCTGCGGAGAACATCTCGGGCGCCGCGGCCTCCTCGGAGCGATCCAGCACGATCATGGGACGCTCTGCAGGAACGGATTCATCCTCGTCCTAGCCCCGTCCGACGATGCGCCGGGCCTCGGGAGCGTGAAAAAACAACTCAGGACGAAGAACTGGCCCCGGGCAAGTGGTCCGGGTCCCCCGGGGCCCACGCATGGAAGCAAACGGAGCGGCCGGATGTCTGGGTCGGGGTTCTCGTCCCGGCCAGGACCGGCTTCCTGCGGTGCACGGCCTGCCGGCCTGCCCAGGGAGGCCACGGTTGCGCCGATCCGTGGGCCCCGGGATCGGCCAGGCCAGAGCCCGAGCCTTTCGAGGCCTCGCCATTTCTCACGCGGGCCCCTGAAAGCGTCTCGACCCCTCCCCCCAGGGGCTCGTTTACTCCCATGCGTGGCGGACACATATATATATATATACATATACACATCTATATATATGTACACATACATATATATATATATATATACTGTTTTACGGAGGCGTACGTCCACGCCAGTGGTCAAGTTAGCCCGACACGTGACCTTTACTTTCAGGACCTTGCACACCGCCCCCCCAGCACACTGGCCGAAGGTTCCACTGCGCCCACAGCCCGCGGGGCCGCTCGGGACCCACAAACGCGGGCCCGAATCACGGAGGGACAGGCCAGCACCGATACACGGTGCACCTCCGAACAGGACGGGCAGCCAAGGGACCTCCCGAGGTCCCGAGGCACCCATCCCGTGGGAGGCCGACCACAAGTCCCACACAGACACCCTCGGCCACGCGCTGGAACGTGCGGCACCAGAAAGGCACACCCTGAAGGTCACCAGCTAACTCCTTTGGGCTTAGGGCACCAACCTGGAGTAGCTGGGGGCATCTATACAGAACAGTCTCCGCGTTCAGGGGCCGCGACGCGGCCCTGGACTACAGGGAGGTAGCGGGTGGGAGCCTTGGAAAGAGGCTACGGAAGGAGACGGCGTTCAACGATGCCCCCAAACAGTATTGCCTTACACAAGCGTAAACGGTCATACTGTTTTACGGAGGCGTACGTCCACGCCAGTGGTCAAGTTAGCCCGACACGTGACCTTTACTTTCAGGACCTTGCACACCGCCCCCCCAGCACACTGGCCGAAGGTTCCACTGCGCCCACAGCCCGCGGGGCCGCTCGGGACCCACAAACGCGGGCCCGAATCACGGAGGGACAGGCCAGCACCGATACACGGTGCACCTCCGAACAGGACGGGCAGCCAAGGGACCTCCCGAGGTCCCGAGGCACCCATCCCGTGGGAGGCCGACCACAAGTCCCACACAGACACCCTCGGCCACGCGCTGGAACGTGCGGCACCAGAAAGGCACACCCTGAAGGTCACCAGCTAACTCCCCACGTCTCCAACCTTGGCGCCCACGCCGTCTAAGAGAAACTATTCTAAAAACTCTACAACCGTGAGGCTAACTTCCAGTCACCGCCTAGACTTAGGCAAGGAAAGTCAGCGAAGCTGAGAGATATGTACACACACTCATGCAATGGGCACAAAGAGGGACGGCTGGATAGGGAATAGAAGTTGCACATTCAACGCTCACAATCTGACAAATTCACGGAGAATCTGGAGGCCGCACTGAACATTCGAACATTGTTCATCCTGCGGCCTGACCTTCACTAGGTCAGCAACTGCATCTTCAATATAAATTCTCGCAGTCAAAGTGCTGGCCCAGCGGCCTTTGACGAGTGTCTGCTCCATTGAGCCGGAGCGGCAGAAAAAGTCACTTGCTCCGCCTCGCCGGCAACTGTGCCAGCTGAAGAGACCTCGAAAACCGAGCGCTTCGGCCAAGCGCTGCAAGCCTGCCCTGAGCTGGTTCGGCGACCTCGGCGAGAGCCTGTCTGAAGGCGCGAGATGGGCCACAACCAAGCGCAGCAGCCGCACACAGGCCCTAGACCGCACCACCACGGCCTCAGCTGCATCCTTGCCCGCCGTGGTCTTACTGCTGCCAATGCGGATGACCATACACGATGCACGATCATGAACGTCGCCTGCAGTGAGGCTGAAAGCTTCTCCCCCTCGCAGCATCGCTTCAAAGCTGACGAGAAGAAGGCAGGCGAAATCAAAGGCGCCTGCTGCGATGGCGTAGCCCGCCATGCCGCCGACCAGCTCTGCGGTCAGCGGGAGGACGCGCGCCGCAGGCTCTTGGCGGCGCCACGTCCGCAGGAGTGACCAGGACAAGTCGAGCTTCCTGCGCAAAGACGGGCAGAAAAAGGCCACGCCCGCGATGGTGTTGCTCGCAGCTGCAATGCCAGCGCCCTCAGCCCAGAGCCTCTCAAGGAAGCTAGCGACCAAGCCGTCCGCATCGTCCATGGCCAGTGCGAGCGCAGTCGTGCCACTCTCCTCAGCGCCGTAGTACTGCAAGAGCCTGCGGACCGCAACGGCATACCGCCTGCGGGTCGCCACCCCAACGCGGAGCGACGAGAGGGTGTGGGCTCGCGGGTCACGCCGCCTCACGGGCGGCCTGCACGGGCGGCCTTGCGCACCAAGGGCGCGCGACTGCCGCGCCCCCTGAGCCGCGAGCCACGCCACAGCTTTCTCGATGGCTCGTCGGCCGGATTGTTCTCCGACACGATGTAGCCGATCAGCGGGTACATGTCGGCCGCGACCGCGACCGCTGCCCAGCGCCGGAGCATGGGCTGCAAGCGAGCGCTGCTGCTCCGGCCCTTCGTGATGATGGCCGCGACGACCTGGCTGTCCACGAGGTGGAGCCAGCGGCTGCAGTGGCGGCGAGCGGCGCGAGCCCGCCACCGAAGCGCCGCGAGCGCGGCCTGCAGCTCCCTGACGTTGATGTGCGCCTGCCGCCTCTTGGGCCAGGCTATACTCAGCACGACTCGCCACTTCCACACGAACGGGTCCAGCGACGATCTGGGCCACCCCTTCGGTCGGTACGGCAGGTTCACGTCGAGACGCACATCGCTCCCGCCCTTCTCGGACCTGGCGAGGTAGCTGAGGAGCAAGAGGCGGCTGGCCTCGGTCTCTGGCTCCCCCGCGTCGCTCTCGAAGCAGCCCGTCTCGTCCCACGACGGCGTGCATTCGCCGACGTGCCCCAGCTCCTGCATGGACAGCGGGCGCGTCACAGCTCCCAGGCTCAGCAAGAGCCACTGCAGCAGCCAAGCGACCGAGAACACATTGAAGCTGTTGCCCAGTAGGAAGGACCTGGCGTCGTCGCTATCCTGCTGGTTCGAGCCCTTCGTGGCTACAGCCGTGTAACGCACGTCGAATCCCATCATCCTCTCCCGCTCGGAGCTCGAAGGGACTCGCAAGGACCCGTCGCTGTCCTGCAAGAGGTTTTTCTCTTCGTAGAGCGCAACATGGTAGCGATACGAATCCGACTGCCAGCGAGCGAGCGCCTCGGGCGAAGCACTCTTCACCCCGCGCGGCGCTGAAGGGTAGCCTCGCTGAGGCCTGCTGCACACGAGGGTGGGGTAAGGCCCAGGCTCGCCGATCCAGCGCGCCCCAGGATCCTGCCAATCCAAATTCAACAGGGGCGGCTCACTGCAGCTGACAACGAACATATCCTCACGCTCCTGGAGGACCAGCGGCGGGGTGGGGCGGACGCTCCAGCTCAGCCAATACAGCCGCGGCCTCCTGCAGGGCACCAGAGCCGAGGCACACAGGAACACGGGCTTGACGCCGAGGGCCTGGCTCATGCCACGCAGGCTGCTGGACGTCATGCCCGCGACGTTCTCCACGAGCCACCTGAAGCGCGCCCCGAAAGCGTCTGACAGCAGCCCGAAGATGCGCGGCACCTCGAAGAAGACCGAAGACTTCGGGTCGGCCAGGCCTCGCCCAGCAGCGTTCAGCACCGTGAGCCCCTGGCACGGGCTGCCTGCGCCCGCGACCACAAGGTCGACCTCGGACTGGTAGGCGATCCTCAAATCCTCCACCGTCTGGGCGGTCACGGTCCTGACGTCGCCCCAGTCGATGGCGCCTGGCCACCTGAGCCGTACGACCCTCCTGGCCTTGGCGTCCGTCTCGGCGCTCACGTACCCGACGATGCGCACGGGCAGGCGCGAGAGCGCGACCGCCAGCCCGCCGATGCCGTCGAACAGCCCGATGCAGAGGACCCTGAGGACGCGGGCGACGATGGCCCGCGGGATCCGAGGATTGCTGCGAGTCCAGGGCGCCCGCGGATCGACTGGCAGGCCGAGGACCCTCGCCCCCGCGCCCAGCTGAGCGCCAGGCTCGCCGGCGGCGAGGATAGACGCCTCCGCCTGCTCATGGAGGCCCGTCGACACGCAGACCCCGCCCCCGAACTCGGACGCGTCTGAACACGACGCCATCCCTTCGAGGCGGCTCCTCAACGAAGTAGCGGCGAGCGGGATCACGAGGAGCGCCGTCATCAGCTCCTCCCTCATCTCCCGCGTCAGGTAGACCTTCGCCCGCGGCTCTGAAAGCCTCCACACTGCATTCAAGATGCTGAGCAAGGGCCGTCGGAACTCGAAGACCCTGACAAGGCGGCCGAGCACAGTCATGGCCAGCCTCCACGGGACCAAGTCCACGCCGAGCGTCGCGATGGCGAGACCGCAGGCGGACAACGCCTTGCTGAGGGGGGCCCCGATCCGCCCCGTGACGCCGTCAACAGAAGCCCCCATCCTCTCAACGCGAAGCTGGCGGAGGTGCGCCTTGTCGGAGGAGATCGCCACCTGCGCACGGCCGTAGCTGGCACGGGCCGCGGCCTGCAACTCTGCCTGGCTACCAAGCAGCTCTAGCGCCGCGGCCTCCTCGATGATCTCGGGGGCGTCGAAGTCGTCGATGTATACCTGCCACCAAGATGCAAGGACGGGGCCCTGCTTAGCAAAAGCGAGCGGCCGCACCGTGTCCTTCCGCCACTCTGCCTCTGGTGGTAGGCCCGCTCCGAGCGGGGGCGGAAGCCGACACAGCCGCCGATGTATGTGCTGGAACAGCGGCACGGCGAGCATCCAACCCATCGAGATGACAGCTGAGGCGACGAAGACCCGCGGCGCCGCGCGCCCAAACAGGTCGCCGCGCAGCGCCTTGCCCACCGCCATGTGAGCATGCCAGCAGCGCGGGATCCGCCACACAAAGAAAGCCCCCTTCTGGTCATCGCCAGACCACAGCAGCAGGGAGCCCTCGGGCAGATGAAGGGTCGTCCACCCCGTCGACGCCGCGAGTGTAGACGCCTCACCGACGAACGGCTTGAGGAGCGAGTTGCCTGGGACCATGTTGAGGATGAGCCTGGTGACCCGCTCGGCCCCCGGCCCAGGCGCTCCCTTCTTCTCGACTGCGAAGAGGCCGTTGAGGAGCGGAGCGCCCCGCACCTGGAACACCTCGTGCGGCTCGAGCACCGTAAAGATGCCCAACTTCACCAAGTGCACCGCCAGGGCCTCCCAGTCGCTGTCAGAGATGACGTTGACCCGCGCCCTCGGGAGCGGGTTGGGCCACTCAGCCTCGGGCTTCAGCGCCACCGTGGGGTCGTTCAGCCAGGCGCCGATGTCCGCATCCACGAACTCGCATGCGTCCAAGGCGCCTGCGTGCTCTGGCTGCGGCAGGCCCGGCTTCAGCTCCGCGAGCACGCACGGGAGTGCCTTGACCGTGGGCTCCCCGCTGTAGTCGATGGCCGCGTGCTGGAGGGCAGATGACAGCGCGGGCACCTCCACGCTCGCGAAGGGGTCCTCCGCAAAGACCTCGGCCCGCGACAGGAGGTGCGTCATGGCCTGCCGCTGCGCCAGCGTGAGGGACCCCTCGTGCTGCCAAGTGGCGGTCGCCCGCCCGCAGTACATGCGGTTGAGGCCGAGCACCTCCATGTAAAGCCAGCACTCCACCATGACGGACCTGGCCACTCCTGCGAGACGGCACCTGCCGCTGCGAGGGCCGCATCGGCTGCGAATCCATCGCCTCGCCAGGGAGAGAGAGGGCAGGGGCAGCGGGAGGACGTCACGTCCCCGCACCCCGCTCCCCCGCCTTGTGGACGTACGCATCGTGAACTCCCTAGCGAAGGCGCCCAGACCCCCAGGGTCCGTGATGGCAAGGCCCAGCAGCGTGACGGACAAGTCCACGGCAGTGAGGCTCGACCCAAAGCCGACCGTGACCACGCGCAGCCAGTCCTGGAAGTCCGAAGTGGTGAGCGGGTCCTGGCCTGGGAGGGGGCCTGGAGGGGCCTCGGCGGCGCTGAGTAGGCCATCGGCCGCAGCGCTGCCCCCAGAGGCGCCCGCGCAGGCCAGGCCCCCCCCAAGAGCGCTCGCTGCGGGCGGCGGGGCGACCTCTACCGCAGCGTCGGCACGAGGCTCCGCAGACGGGCATCGTACGCCTTGACCGTCTCGCCAGGCTTCTTCGGGTACTTCGCCTTGGCATCCTTCCAGGGCCGCGTCAGCACGACCGAACGGGCTGGGGCTGCCGACCTGTCGGCCAGCATGCGGTCGGCCTCCGCGGAACCTGCGGCTGCTGGCTGCCTCTGCGCCTGGGCCTGCGCTGCAGCAGGGGGTATCCCCCCTGCGTGGCCAGCAGGGCGAGGGGGCAACGCCGAACCCACCTCGCCCCGGCCGACCTGCTAGCCCTGAGGCTTCTGCCGCAGCCGTGAGGCAAGCTCCTCCAGCTTGAGCTCGCCGTGCTGGATGCTCCTGATCATCTCCTCCTCCTCGTTGCGCAGCGCGAGAGGCTGGTCCCGCGGCGGTATCAGCTCGAGCCACTTCGCCGCCGACCAGCTCCCGTCCCCGACAGCCACCTGGATGGCCTTGAAGCGCTGGGCCAGGATGTCGGCCACCGCGGCCGTGCGCCCCTGCAGCAACAGGTCCAGCGCCTCCGCGATCGTCCGCAGCTCGCGGTAGATCTCGCCCCCTATCTCCTTCACAGGGTGCTGCGGCAAGTAGACCGACAAGAGGAACCGAAGGACGATCGGGCCATGCGGATCGACCGACCCGCCGCCGTCCTGCGACCCCAGAAACTCTGCCATCTGCGCCAGGCTCAGCTCCGCGAGTCTGCCTGGGTGCTCGAGGGCCAATCTCCTGCAGTGGGCCCGTCGAGACGCGAGGCCCTTCGGCAGCAAGTCGCCCTCGGCGGTGGCGACACCACCGTCGCCGCCGAAGGACGGGTCGTCGGACGACCTGGACGCGCTCTGCAGCGCCTTGAGGAGGGCCGTCAGCAGCTCCTGCACGCCAGCTCCGCCCTGCCCAGCCGCGGCGGCGGCCGCCTCTGCGCCCTTGGCGTCCTCGGCCGAGGCAACTGCCCCGACCTTCGCCGCCTTCCGCACGCGGTCCTCGAGGACCTCGGCGAGCGACCGCTGCGGTGGCGGCCCGCCCTGCCGCGGGACCTTCGCGGGCGGCTTGTCGTCCAGGGCAGCGACCGCCTCCGCAGCTCCCGCGGCGGCCCGCCGCTGCTGCTGAAGCCGCGCGAAGCGATCCTGCGCTGCCTCCAGCTTCCCGCGGAGGCTGGCGCGGCGGCTGCTCCCCTCCGCCTCGACAACGTCGCCGCTCCAAAGCTCGTCCAGCCCTGGCTGCTCCGACGCGGCCGGCCTCCTGGCTGGCGCCTCCGCCGGCACCCCGCCAGCGAGCCGCGGTCCGAAGAGGTCGGCGGGCCAGACCGCGTCTGGGTTGTCCGAGAGGAACGACGCAAAGACCTGCCGCAGCTCGTCGGCCGAGACGGGGGTCGCATCTGTGATGTGCACCAGCTCTGAGCAGCCCCGCGGGGGCTGGACCTGGCACGGCTGCGTCTGACACACATGGACGAGAGGCCGCGCAGTCACAGCACCCCGCTCGCCTGGGTTCAACGCCCACCAGTCCCAGTACGGGTCGCTTGAGAAAAGGAACCTCGGCCTCGCGTACGTCTCGACTCCGACGGAGAGGCGAAGGGCGACCCACGTGAAGCGGCACTGGACGTCCCCCTGGGCATCGTAGCCAGTCGACGAGTACACCTGGCCTTCGACGAGCCGCAGATCCTCGGCGGGGACAGGAGGCAGTCCTCCGCCCTCCTCGTCCAGCTCGTCGCCCGACGGGGTGTACAGCTGCGCGCTCCCGTCCAGCTCCTCGTCCTGATCTCCGGCCATGAGAGGGCGCTTGCGCTCGCAGCGCCGTCTCTCTCTCTCGGGAGTCCCCACCCCGACCTGGGGCGGACCAGGTCGGAGCCGGAGGAAGCAGACGAGGACCTCGGGCGAGCACCAAAGCAGTGAGGTGTCGGCTCGCCCGAGGCCCCTCAAACCCTGCAAGCCTTGGAAAGAGGCTACGGAAGGCGACGGCGTTCAACGATGCCCCCAAACAGTATTGCCTTACACAAGCGTAAACGGTCATATATATATATATGTATACACATATAAACATATATATACACACACATACACATATAGGCCCCTGGAGGCCCAGCTGTATCCATATCCACCGCCTGCCGAGGTTTCCTCGGGAATCTTCTGACCCGGGTCAATCCAGACCCGGGTCAATCAGGCCTTGCAGAATGCTGTAAGAACCTGCCCCCAAATCCGGGCCAATGCGAAGGATCCTGCAAGATCCTGCAGGATCCTGCACGCAAGCCCGGGTCAATGCGACCCTGGCCCTGCAGGATCCTGCAAGATCGGGCGCTCTGGCTGAACCCCGTTTGCATTGACCCCCGTCTCAAGACTCCCGATGTCCAAAAGTCGAGCCTCCCGGCGGTGGGTTATGTGTATCAGCCCCCTGGCTCTCTCTTCCTTCCGCACCTTCCGACCAGCAGGTGAGCTTGGCGCGGATTCCTTGGATCTGCGCTGGACCCCCCCCACGGAACGTTCGATGATCCTCAGAAAGTGTGTCAGCGCCCGCGTGTGCTTGTCCACCGAAGCGAGAGCAAATCTGGACAACAACAAAAAACGCCGTACACAGAAACTTGTGGCGCTCCGTGCGGATTTCTTGGATCCGCGCTGGGCCCCCCCCCCCTGGCGTGCGGATCGCGCCAGGGGCGGAGCAGGAGGCGCCGCCAGGAAGGTTCAGCAGCGATCCAAGAAATCCGCCCTGCTGGTCGGAAGGTGTGTAGACGAGCGCGTTCCACGACTCGCAAAGCAGCTACTCGCAAATCGCCTGGATCCACCGCGGGGGATCTACGATGAACTACATCGAAGCAGATATGTTTTTCGGGCGCTTGCGAGTAGGCCCTTTGCGGGTAGTGGGACGCGCCCTGTGAGTGTGGAAGATGGAGAGTCAGGGTCCTTGACCCCTTCCCCATGGAACTAATTTTTCATGCCGGCTTGTTTTTGAAGGAACCGGGGTCCGGCATCGACCCCCAGTGGCCGAGAATTGTGGAAAACCTTCCGCCGTGATGCCCTCTCGGCGCGAGGAGTTCTGGGTCCAGGATCTAAAGCCAAAGCCGACCCCGGGCTGCATCCTGGGATGAGTCTTGGTCAGAATTGACTGTGGCAGCCAGCCGTGACGACGGGAAGCTTCCCCGATGCCCAAACACACACACACACACACTTACACACAGACACACACACACAGACCTTACACACAGACACACACAGACAGACAGACAGACAGACAGACAGACAGACAGACAGACAGACAGACAGACAGACAGACAGACAGGCAGACAGACAGACGGACAGACAGACAGACAGACAGACAGACAGACAGACTGACAGACTGACAGACAGACAGACAGACAGACAGACACACACCCACACGCACACACACACACAAATACACACACATACACACACATACACACAAACACACACACACACACACACCTTGGGGAGGCCGAGCGGGCCCTCACGCCGAATGGGCTCAGCTCCCACAGGGTCGTATCGGCGGCGAGCGAGGGGGGGAAGTGATAAGGGACGGGCCTTCTCAGAAGGCTCGGAAGTCCCCCGCACTTCTGACAAGTTTTCTAAGCCTTCCCCGGAGACGCAGAAAAAACCTCTCAGAAGGCGCGAGGGCTTCCGAGAAGTCCCGCCGCCTTCCGAGCAGGCCTCCTCCTTCTCACTTCCCCCCCTCTCGGTCGCCGCCGCGACATAAACATAAAAACTCGGAAGTCCGCGCTCGGCGCTGGGACCCCCCTCCCTGGCGCGCGGAGCGCGCCAGGGGCGGCGCCGGAGGCGCCGCCGGGGGGCCCCAGCGCCGATCCGAGAAATCCGCGCGGACATCTGAGTTTTTATGCCACTTTTTGTTCCCCTAGTCAGACGCGGCGGTGGCCGAGGGGGTGGGGAAGTGAGAAGGAGAGGCCTGCTCGGAAGGCGGCGGGACTTCTCGGAAGCCCCCTCGCGCCTTCTGAGAGGTTTTATGTTTATGCCACTTCTTGTTCCCCTGCAGACGCCCCCCGATCGGCCCAGCCCCCCGCCCTCCAGCAGCGCCAGCAGGGCCTCGCCGGGCGCCGCCCGCGGGGCTCCCGCCGGCCGCCCCGCCGCGGCGGGCCCCGCCCCGACGGCCCCCAGCGCGGCCGCGAGCGCGCCGGAGGCGGCGGCCGCGCGGGGCAGGAGGCGCGCGCTGGGCGGCATTCGAGGCCGTCCTTCAGCCCCTGGATCCCCTCCTCCTCCTCCCCTTCCTCAATCCTACCTCCTCCTTCTCCTCCTCCTTCTCTTGCCTCATGACTCATCCTCCTCCAACTTCTTCGCCTACCCCTCTTCCTCCTCCTCCTCCTCCTCCTCCTCCTCCTCCTCCTCATCGGGCCCCAGGGCCGTCACAGATCGATCCGGCTCGGGAAACGTAGCATAAAGATGGTGTCTCCGGAAACGGTCGTGATTCTTCGGATCTCAGGGTGGGGGGCTACTCTCGCCGCCACGGCTAAATCGGTCCAGAGATCCTGGGCAGAAGGCGCTCCAGAACTGGTCCGGGGGTCGACTTTTCACGGCGGGGGGTTGGTGGCAATGTTCGGCCTCCAGGTGCCCTTGACCAGGCCAAGAGACCGTCAAACACAGCTAGGGCTGAGAAGCCGGTCCCCAGAAGGGGGTCCGACGTCGGATGTCTGGGACCTCGCGACGTGGAGTCGTCTGTCACGGCAGAACTGGAGGTGCTTCGCCCTATGCTGGGCCTCTGGGAAGCTTCTCGCCGTCACGGTTGGATCCGCCTCGAAATTCTGGTCCAGGCGTAACCCGGAGCAACTTCCTCGCGCGGCGTGGACAACGGGTAAATGGTGGTTACCTGGGGGGAGGGATGGGGCCCCGGGGAACGGTAAGGCCTGGTCGGGTTGGGCCACGTCGGGGCGCGCTGCGATCGCCCCAGTATGCGCGCGAGCACCAGCAAGTGGGGGGGGGGCCCAATCCCGCGACCGGTTGTTACTGTGGCCCGTTGGGTGTTAGTGTGGCCCGTTGGGTGTTAGTGTGGCCCGTCGCGCGGCGGGATGGGAGTTACTGTGGCCCGCGCAGGCCGCTCAATGTAAAGTAATATGTAAAGGTATCTCATGTTAGATCTGGAGAGATTCGCAACCCTTAAGGGAATGCACTCCCGCGCAGGCAAAAGTGGCCACAGTAACTCCCACCTGGAACCAACGTGGTAGTAGTGCTGTGTTAGTGGTGTGGTGGTCGCTGTGCTGTGTTAGTGGTGTGGTGTTGGTAATGTTGTGTTAGTGGTGTGGTGTTGGTAGTGGCTGGTTGTGCTGTATGCTGTGTTAGAAGTGTGGTGTTGGTAGTGGTGTGCTGTGTTAGTGGTGTGGTGTTGGTAGTGTTGTGTTAGTGGTGTGGTGTTGGTAGTGTTGTTGAGTTGCTAGTAGGTAGTAGTGTTGTGGTAGTGGCAGTGGTGTTGTGGTAGTGGTGTTGTGGTAGCGGTGTTGTGGTGTTGTGGTTGTGGTATCGTGGTAGGGTGTAGTGGTGTTGTGGTAGCGGTGTTGTGGTGTTGTGGTGCTGGTATTGTGGTAGTGGTGCTGTAGTGTGGTAGTACTATGGTGCTGTAGTGTTGGTTTTCGGTAATATCGTTCATAAGGAGTACTAGTCCTACGGAGTACTAGCCGCAGGGAGTGCTAGCCCCAGGGAGTACCAGTCCTAGGAATTACTACCCCTAGGGCGTACTCGTCCAAGGGAGTACTCGTCCTAGAGAGTACTCCCACTACGGAGTACCAGCCCTAGGGAATACTAGTCCTAGGAAGTGCTAGTCCGAGGGAGTGCCAGGAAGTACTGGCGCTAGGGAGTGCTAGCCCTAGGAAGTACTGGCGCTGGGGAGTGTTAGCCCTAGGGTGCTAGGGACAGTAGTAGTAGTAGTAGTAGTAGCAGTAGTAGTAGTAGTAGTAGTAGTAGTAGTAGTAGTAGTAGTAGTAGTAGTAGTAGTAGTAGTAGTAGTAGTAGTAGTAGTAGTAGTAGTAGTAGTAGTAGTAGTAGTAGTAGTAGTCAGTAGTAGTAGTCAGAAGTAGTAGTAGTAGTAGTAGTAGTAGTAGTAGTAGTAGTAGTAGTAGTAGTAGTAGTCGTAGTCGTAGTCGTAGTCGTAGTCGTAGTCGTAGTAGTCGTAGTAATCGTAGTCGTAATCGTAGTAGTCGTAATATTTCGGGAAGCCCAAGACGCTCTTCGGAGAGCCCAAGAAGCGCTTCGGATGCCCCAAAAAGCTCTTCGGAGGCCCCTCGAGGCTCTTCGGAGAGCCCAAGCGGCTCTTAGGCGGCTGGAAGTTCTTCGGCGGCTCCAAGAGGCTCTTCGGAGAGCACCAGAGGCTCTTCCGAGAGGCTCTTCGGTGAAGGGGGGGGGGCGGAGCCTTTTTTGCCTCCCCCCCCCCCCTTCACCGTACTCGATAATTAATACACTCCGGAGGACCCCTGGCCATACTAACACCCACCAGGCTGCAATTATTCACTGCGTGGGGATCCCCATATGTGCATCTCCTTGCTGGCGCTCCCTTGGTGGTGGGACTCGGTGAGGACGAATCTGGATTTAAGTGTGACTGAGCTGCCTCTCTCTCTCTCTCTCTGCTCTCTCTGTCTCTCTCTCTCTCTCTGCCCTCTCTCTGTCTCTGCTTCTCTTTCCCTGCCTCTCTCTCTCTCTCTGCCTCTCTCTCTGCCTCTCTCTCTCTGCCTCTCTCTCTCTCTGCCTCTCTCTCTGTGCCTCTCTCTCTGCCTCTATCTCTGCCTCTCTCTCTCTCTCTCTCTCTCCTCTCTCTCTTCTCTCTC